GCTTGCCTCAATACCTCATCTCCCGGATTTACTGGCCTATCGTGTGGCAAGCAGAATGATCTTGGGCTCGGTGACGCTTGCAGCACAGTTTGTACCTAAGAGAGAGGGTGACCAAGGATCCCTGACCTGGAGATGTCAGCAAAAAGGCTCTGGTGCTCCAGAGGGTCAGATATCAATACCATCCAAAATTTCACATGGACAGACAATGCAAAACTGGGCAGTTCCCAGGATAAAGATGTGCTGCCTTAGGAAATATACTGATAAGAAACTATGGGTTGGCACATTCAATCCTGTTACCTAGAGGGCAAACTGATGTGTCGAGTGGAGCCCTGGGATTACAAATGCAAGTCCTGGGTCCAAGTAAATGCAAAGGATGATAATAATCTCATTGTGCTGTTGCAAAATCAGCGAGGTCGGGAATGTCAAAAGACATCATAAAACAGCATCACAGGGTACTGTTTTTTTTTTCTCATGTTTGCATAAAAATGGGGAATAAGGGCTCTGAAAATGTCTGAGTTTTCCAAAAACTTTTTATCACCCCTTCATTTGTCACCTTAATTTCCACTTTACCTCAAGCACATCCTCATAGACACACACATACTAACTAGCAGCCAATCACTCCCAAAGGCAAAGCCTGAGAACTGAGATGGAGACACCAGAAATCAGAGAGAGGAGGATTTAGCTGGCCCAGAAGAGAGGTGCCTCGACAGCATCAAGTGGACAGCTATCTGAGGTAAAATCGGGCTGGACCTCAGATGCCAGCAGCAGGAGAGAAATGAAGGCCTGGAGGGGGAGCCAACCCAACAACCCAAGCATCACCCTTCAGACTGCTCAGCTCTGAAGCACCCCAGTCTCCCACAGTCCTGCCAGCTGACTGCCAGCCTGGGCAGCTGTTAGTAATTAAAACCATGGGCACACACACAGATAACATTTGGAAGCTCTGAAGGAAATTGGAGCTAAATCACTCTATTTTGAAAACAGAACATAATCAAGGAAAAATAAACACAGAAAGGGTTTTTTTCTTTTTTAGAAAGCCTACACTGCCTTAAACCCCCAGGGGATAGCTCTATGCTTGAGATTTTCTCTGAAAAGTCACACCATTTTAACAAGCCTCGGGAATGTTTCTTGGAGAACTGTGAAAAAAATCTTAGCCCTTTCTTGAGGACAGGGCATTAGAGCCTCCAGTGAGGTGGAGTAGAAATTTACGTTGAGGCTTTCAATCCTCCACATTCCCTCCCCCTGGCCTCCAGGACTCAGTCCCTCAGTGCCAGCTCAGCCCCATCCCAGCCCATCTTCAGATTCTTCCCCAGAATCTCTAAATCCCATGTCAGAGAAGCATGGAAAAACGGTTGGGGATACGCTATCCACGAGAACAGCGAGATCACTGCCAGCATTGATTCTATTGTTTTTGTGATTAAGATAGAAACCACAGACTGCCTACAAAATGCCAGATCCTGCCTGTATAGAGATTATTTAACCCAGGAACAATTCTCCATAAGACTTTTATGTATCATGTCTACATGGTACCCCACTCCAGTACTCTTGCCTGGAAAATCCCATGGATGGAGGAGCCTGGTAGGCTGCAGTCCATGGGGTCGCTTAGAGTCAGACACGACTGAGCGACTTCATTTTCACTTTTCACTTTGATGCATTGGAGAAGGAAATGGCAACCCACTCCAGTGTTCTTGCCTGGAGAATCCCAGGGATGGGAGAGCCTGGTGGGCTGCCGTCTATGGGGTCACACAGAGTCGGACACAACTGAAGTGACTTAGCAGCAGCAGCTACATTATAGGTGAGAAAACTGAAGCCGCCCCCCCCCAAAAGTTAAATATTCCCAGGGTTTAATAGTTGACTGGTAAAACAGAAATTTGACCTAGGCTGTTCAACTCCAACACCTGTATGTTTTCCCCTTTAACTGTCTTTAATAGTGTTGCACCTTCTGAAAGCTAATCAAATCTGCCCCAGAGGCAAAGTAGAAAAGGGGCTTGGCAAGTAGAACACCTGTCCGAGCTAGATCCTTGGAAGAGAAACCAAGAGGGCAGCAAAGAGGGCCCTCCTGGACTGGGACTTGGGCACTTCCCGCCTTTCAGCCCCAATTCTTCTGGCTGTGACTTGGGCAGGGCCCACAGTGGAAAGCAAAAATCTTTACCCTCTATTGAGTACTTCCTTCTCATTCAATACAGGCCTCTCATCAAGCTGTCAAGCAGACATCATAAATCCCATTTTGCATACAAGGATGTTGAGGCTTAATTAGAGCTCTTAGCATCATATCCATGTGCTTTCCAATATGCCAAGCTACTGCCCCGCCTCTCTCCCAGTCTCCTTTTGAATGATTTTTAAGGACTATTTCAAGGTTAATCCCCAAGGAATCCAAAATTTTAAAAATCTATAAGTCCAGAGAGCTTCTCTAGGACTCAGGACAACTGACCAGCTGTCTCCACTTGGGTTCAGTGGGGAAGGGGGACAAAGAGGGAATGGAAGAGGGGATTTGAGATCACTGCTCTTACCTTGGTTAAACGCACAGAATGTTCTGTGCCTAGAACAGTGCGGTGGGGGCCTCTGGTGCCCCTGCCAGCATCTGTGGGAACATCTGGAAGAAAATGTCCTTTTAGGGAAGCCCAGGAATACCTGGGAACCTCTGACTATTACTGCCAGGCCATCGAGGGAAGGCAGACCTCAGGGGTGATACTGTAACTGGCAGGACTACCAGGGCTCATCACTCAATTCATGGAGAGGGAACCTTCTCTTCAAACTCTATAAGGGTATGATTCACGCATTCTAAGTCACTTCAGTCATGTCCGACTCTTTGCGACCCCATGGACTATAGCCCACCAGGCTCCTCTATCCATGGGATTCTCCAGGCAAGAATACTGAAGTGGGTTGCCATGCCCTCCTCCAGGGATCTTCCCTACCCAGGGATCGAACCTGCGTCTCCTATGTTGCAGGCATATTCTTTACCACTGAGCCACCAGGGAAGACTCTGGAAGAGTCACTTGCATTTTCTGCCCCTCATAGCTTGCTTGTATTTTATAATGCACATGAGCCCTTACAGGGCCTCAGCCATTCTTTTTAGAATGGCCACAAAGAGACTGGAAAGATGAGAGAGTACGATTTCTGACTCACAAAAGGCAGAGTGAGGCGCCCATCACCACTCTCCCTCTCATCCCCATTCTCTTCACTCAATCCAGTCTGTCCCTCCAAAATCAACCCCAGTCAGAGCTCCAAGCGTTCATGGCCCTGCCCCTCCACTTCCCAAGTAGGACCAGCGCCAATAAGGTTCCCACACACCTTCACATTTTGATCCTTATCAGAGACCTTCAGAGCTTCTTTGACTATCGTCTATATGCAGCAGAACAGCCTGAACTCGGACTTTAATATACATTTTTTTTTTTGGTTTTTTCAAATATCAGACTATGCCAGACTAAGCACCAGAGATACTAAAACACAGAGTAAAGAAGTCATGTTTCAGCCTTCCCGTGGGGGGCGGGGGGGAGAAATTGAGACAAATATGCAGCTATCATAACATGTTGTGATAAATGCTAGGGCAGGGGTAAGTACAAGCGGCTCAGAACAAAGCAGACAATAGTTCACCAACTTGTCAGGCTCTGAGGAGGTGACATCTGAGCCAAGACTTGCAGGGCCAGTCACAGTTAGCAGGGTCGGGGACACGGGGCCAGCAGCAGTTAGATGACAAAATACATCAAGTGCCTACAATGTGCCCCAAACTGGAAATAAAACAGTGGATACAACAGAAAAGATCAGTGCTCCTCTGGAGCTCAAGCACTAGGAGAGCCATAACAGAAAATAAACAAATAAGCAAAAACATTTCAGATAAAGATAAGTGCCCTGAAGGTAGGACAGAGTGATAGGAGAGAAAAGGACAGGGGCAGGACAGCCCTATTTGAGACAGGGGGTCAGTGAAGTCTTCTCTGAGGTGGTGACATACCAACTGAGAGATGTGTGATGAGAAAACACCAGCCATTCTAAGATCGAGGCAAAGAGTGTTCCAGGCAGAGGAGGGAAGAGAAAAAGGTCTTCTGCTTTGGGGATTCACAGGAGGAAGAAGGTCAAGGTGGCCAGAGTATCAAGAGCACAGGAGAGTTGTAGGAGATGAGGTCAGAGAGGAGAGGAGGGGACAGGTCATATAGGGACATGCAGGACATAGCCAGGATCTTTGATTTAATTCTGAGTGACTTGGGGGAAATTAAGCAGTAGACTTGATCTAATTTGTTTTCAGAAGTGCATTCTACAAATGCAAAGACCCAGAGAGAACGAGAACACACCCTGTTTGAAAAGCTGCAAGTGGTTCAGTGTGCGTGCATATGTGTGTGGTGGGGGAGGGGAGGGGTGCGCCTAAAAAGTGCAAGGCAGGAGAAGTCACAGCGTGGACACAAAATCCAGTTTTTTAAGCTGTCTGAAGACTGAACCCTGATCCTAGACATGGACTGGGTCAGGATCGGAAGCCCAGGAATTGTGCTAAGTTCTAAACTCAGCACAGCCTGACTCCTGATGTAAATTACAACATGAGCCCAGACCCCATTCAGAGCCCACATCCCACAAAGGGCTATAATCTGACCCCTGATCATAAACTGAGTTTCAACCACACCAACAACCTGGGTGGGACCAGCCCTGTTCACACACCAAATCCCAGTCCAACTCTAGAGTGGTCCCAGCCCCGTCTGCTCTCAACCCACCACCTTCATTTAGCCCCATCCCCCCCAGGCTCAAGATGGGTGCCCCAGTAAACTGATCACAGGAGAACATCTTAAAAACTGCAAAAGAAGCATCCAGCACCAACCACTTTCCCTTCACCACATGAGCACAGAAGTTGCTGAGACCGTCTGTCCTTTGAGTCCGGGGCCTCCTTCACATCCCCGACCCCACTCCCTACTTCTTGTTCTCCCTGGCCTGGTTTCTCATTCACTTAGCAGGTCTAATGAAGGACCCCTAGCTGCAGGAAACCCACACCCCCGGAGTTACGTCCAGTCTCCCACACTCACCTCAATTGCACTGAAGGAACGAGTGCCCTTTTCTCCAGGACTCTTCCAGCAGTGATCTGGCAGGCTGTACCGTAGGGCCGCCCTCTCAGTCTCCGCCCCCTCCCTTGTCAGGCTTATTTATTCTGTCATATCTCCTCCCTTCTTTTGGCTTCTCCCTGCTGGGGGTAGGGCACTGCCCAGAGGGTCTATCCTCAGATACCCCTCGTAGCCAACTGTGGGACTGATGTCCTTCTGGGCTGCTGTGTCCTGAGAAGGTGTGCTTAGGGTATGGGGAAGAAGGGGTAGTGGTAAGGGGTCTCTAGAGTCCTCCCCAGATGGGCCCTGTGCCAGTTGGAGTATTTCTGCCAGTTCCCAACGTGAAGTTAGGGTGAATGAGTACGGAGAGTCTAGAGAAACTCGTGTGTGGCCTTGGTCTCTGGGAGAGGCTTTCTCTAAATTTCCCCCAGCCTCATCAAACTCCACCAGAGGAAAAGCAGGATATGCTTTCAGGGAGACCCCGTGATTAGGTGCCAACTCATCATCTTCCTGAAACTTTCTCTGGCCTCCACCTTCCTTCTCTGGGTGGTGCCTGCTTGGTCCTTGCTGGGCCTGCATCCCAGTGGACACATCTGCCTTTCCCGAAAGCTGTAAGACTGTGTCTTCTTTATCCCCCAGGTTCTAGGGTGCGTCTCTAGCTAATTCATAACAGGGATCCCTGGGGACCATGCCTCTGCCTTCTATTCCCTGACCTTGAACTTCTTGTTGAGAAAGGAGGATGTGGTTTCCTTAGCCCTCCCCTACCTCCAGCGCCAGCCATATAAGACCAATGCCATCTGGTTTCTCTCTTAAGGGCAAAAATAGTGAGAGAACATTTTAGAGGGTTAGAGATCAGTGGGAATGAGAAACTAAGTATGTTACATATTTAAATAATTTTTAATAAATCTATTAATAAAGCAAAGTGAATTTTCATTGGTTTCTCCTTGTGTTTTTACTGATCAATTTCACAACTGCAAGTTTTAAATTCACAACACAGAGCGTGCTGATATAAGCTATGCAAAATTAGACAATGTCAAATCAGACAATTCCAACTCAGACCATATCAAAACTAGCAATTACAAGATCTCCAGGTACCTGTAAATCTGCAGCCTGTCACTCATTGCTATCACCCTGGAGCCATCTCTGTTGCTTCCCTCAAACTCCCATAGACTGAGAGGGTGTGAAAGACACCCCAGGGACTTTTACTCCTGGCCAAGAGAGAATAACATGAGGGAACATCCCACCTGAAGGAACCTAAAATAGACAGCATACATTAAAAACAAAAGTTTGCAAGATACTGGATATCAGGCAATGAAGGACAATGAGCCCTGAGGCATGGAAAACAAGCTGGTTTCCCCAGCTTACTGCCTTGAGAGGTTCCCTGCTACTGTCCAGGGAAGGAGAATGCAGAGTCCAGAGGACATCTTAAGTTAAGGATGTAGAGCTGATAGTCCAGGAAGCCCCAGCTAGCTAGAATTTGAAGACCAGGTATTGGAGTTGAGAGATCTATAGAGAGACATAGAACTCTAGAGACATGCAGAGGTTCCTCTGCAAGAATCCAGCTGAGTACTGAGCCCACATGCATGTGAACAAGCTGCTTAAGACTGGGACAAAACCACCTGGAAATATTAGAGACGGTATCCCCAACCAGGGTTCACATAGGGTCACAGAAAGTGACTGTTCCTACCTACCAGGTTGGAGAACTTCAAGATTCACAGGGCATTGAGTAGAGAATACAGAAGGATCCTGCCTCTGTAGTGGGGAATAATTAACCAAATATTATCTGCAGTATAATGTGGGTTTTAGATCATAAGTGATCATTAATGGGTGGGGAAAGTACTTTGTTGACTTTATAAAACAGTACCTGTCAAACTAAGGACTATAATTTATAGAGACAGGAACAAGAGATGAGTGTGGATGGGGGTTGGAAGGGGTTTGGAGAGGGATAAGTGAATTTGGTTTATCTTAAGTAAGTAAACCAGAACCCACTCAGGCTCTCCTTCTCGCCAAGAGGCCCCAGACAGACAGTCATTGAGCACACAGTATATGTCAGGCCCTGGAGACAGAGAAGCCGGGTCCTTGTCCTCAAGGGAGACAGACAACTATGTATATGGATATTTCAGCTCTGTGATGGAAGATAAACATACAGCTATCATAAAACTATTTAAGCTCTATGACAGAGGGATAAACATCCAGTTGGGAGAAAAAAAAGCTTTAAAGTTTATGATTGAGGGAAACAGAATCTGTGGGAGCCTCGGGGAAGCCCTTAATGTAGTCTGGCACTTCGCCAAGTTCTCAAACCAGGGACAATTACCCCAGTCACCACCAGTTATCAAAATAAAGAGATTCTAGAGGACTCCAAGATTTCCCAAGGTCTCCTGAGAAAGAAGGCCATGAGTTATTCTAAAACCAGAGACACCATAACCTGGATAAGAGAATAGCTTCTGGCCTTGACACAGCAGGGCCTTATGAAAGGTGAAGTGTCTTGTTTGAATATTCCCTAAAATGGAATAAGTATACCTCATTTAATCAGTTTTATTATTTAAAACCATTACCACCATCGTGTATCGATCACTGTTTCTTTTCCATATGTTTTCACATCTGTTATTCTATTTAACCCCCACAACCACCCAACAGGAGGTACATTATGTTTCCTTTTTTACAGCACCTACAATTTCCAAAATTACTGTGTTGCAGTAGGCTAAGCAATGAGCCCAAATATTAAAGCTAGTGATCCTAACCTCTATTGACTCTAATCCCCACCCCACAATGTCTTTTCCTGATACAGCTATCAACCACGTTTAAAGGAACTTCTTGGCAAGGTTGTGTTTTTTTCGAATTTCATTTGTAAATTTGAGCATCACTTGTAAACCAGACACCAAGCATGGGAAAATAAATGTCAACTTGTCTGGAGCTCTGTGAAAACAATTTATTACGAGATAGTAAATAACAATGTTTTCATTAATAACAGTAAATCAGGATGGCCACACGAGGCCAAACTGGTGATGCACTGCACAATATAGAAGCACCATTCACACGGACCATGATGTGGATGTCATTTCCTAAAGCTGTACAGTGAGACAACCATGACTATGATCATTTCTTGCATGTTTACACTTTTCAGTTTACCTACGAGGTTCGTAGGATTTAAGCTTTACAGCATCACTGCCATTGTAGCTTCATTTTTAAGAAAAGGAAATGAGATCCAGAGAGGTTTTACAGTATGCCATTTTATGATATTTCCAGGATTTTAACCTTATAAGTCTTACTTCAGTATTCTTTCATCTCCCTCAAATGAACCTACATTATTTTCTACCTATAATTCTTCACTGTGAACATTTTTACCTAACAGTTTCCCGGTTCATTATGGCACATTCTTGTGCCTTATAATCCACACCCATTGAACAAATGAGTGCAATATGCCTTAAAACATAGTAATCACAAACAATACATACATACACACACATATTTGTAAACACATACCCTTCAGATATTATATTCATCTATATATGACTAAAGACATATATATTACACAAAAGGATTTCATATCACAAATATTTTGCATCACAGGTATACACCCAAAGATAAACAAGCCAAAAAACACAGCCATCCCAACACTACATATTCCACATGCTTATGTGTATTAAATAGTCTACATTGTTACAAATATGCAACATTCTACATTCTACACCCTACCATTTATATATTATTAATACATTCTACATTATTACATATTATATTCTACATTTACATATTAAAATATGGGGAAAAAAGGAGGCATCTATTCTCATTAGATACACATGCTCTCCAACCATTCTCACATAGGTGCATATCATATACCAACTAGCAGAGATCACATAAACACAATAAGTGTGGAATTATAGACATTATTCACAAAATATTATACATGACAGGACACAGCTGCCAGGGAGACCAGCTGGCACATATTCTGTGTACTCACACACACACAGGCTAAAATCACACATAGCCACACAAACAAACCTACATACTCACAGCTACAACCAAGATAAACATCACCCTTATAGAAAAATAATCTCCAATAGAACCACATAGATGACATCGGCAGATTCCACATGAACACACCCCCATATATATAGAAACATAAACACTTCATGGGAGCTGTCTCTTTGCTTACTACCATCTCCCTCCCCTCCCTTCAACCACCATCACACAAATACCTTTATTAACCCTTAAAAATGACTGTGTTACCTCTTTGGGATCCAAGAAAGAAGTTATAGTTAACACATATTCACTGATGTGGATACATCAGAGCAAAATAATAAAAATCATACATCAAGACTGGAATGAATCATGATGTGTATCATTTACAGCCTTTGCACATCAAAATTACATGTATTTTCTACTTGGGAGAGAGAAATAAGGCGAGGTCACCATAGGAAGGGAGTGTAGGGTGATCGCTATCCAGCATGTCCTGTCAATACTGGTTCTTCTGAAGTGACCCATTTCTGGAGATAGAAATTGAAGGTCTACTTAGATAACTTGGAGCAGAGAGCCCAGTGGGTTAGATGTTCCAATCACCAAGATGTTCAACAGGACCTGAACCCTGCTGTCTTTGGTAGGGACTAAGGACAGTCACTGGGAAGGAAATCCTGCTCACCTGCCCTTCTGTGAGAATATATGGAAGACCCGAGAACGAATCTCCTTGGTTTTGGCTCCATAGACTATAGGGTTAACCACAGGCGGTAGCAGTAGATAGATATTAGCCATAATCACATGGAGCAGGGAAGTGGGGCCACTCAGCCTGTGCACCACGGACAGCCCGACGAGGGGCACATAGAAGACCAGCACAGCACAGAGATGGGAGATGCAGGTGCTGAAAGCTCTGAGCGCTGCCCCCTGAGAGGACAGCTCCAACACAGCCCTCAGGATGAGGATGTAGGAGAAGCCAATGAAGAGGGAGTCGACGCCCATGACCGAGAGGATGATAAAGAGCCCGTACACCACATTGACCGTGGTGTCAGTACAGGAC